AGCATGGCATAGGGAATGCAGTTAGCATTAATATGTAGGCTAGGTGGAGGGTCAGGGGAGGGAGGAAGCAATTGGGGGATCGTTCTACAAACTATATAGATGTCTAACTAATGTACTGTATACTTGAAACTAATTAAAATAAATAAATTTTTTAAAAAAAGTTATACACCATGACCAATTATAAACCATTCCAGGGATTTATACCTGGAATGCAAGGAGAGTTCAACATACAAAAAACAATCATCATACACCACATTAACAAAATGAAAGACAAAAACCACATGATCATCTCAATTGATGCAGAAAAAGCATCTGACAAAATTCAACAACATTTTATGACCCAAAACAAAACAAAACAAAACAAAAAAAACCACTCAACAAACTAGGATTAGAAGGAAACTACCTCAACATAATAAAAGCCATACATGTAAAGCCCATAGCAAACATCACACTCAATGGCAAAAGACTCAAAGCTTTCCTTCTAAGATAAGAAACACTAAGATGCTCACTCTCGCCATTATGATCCCACATAGTACCGGAAATCCTAACAGGAGCAATTAGACCCAAAAAAAAAAAAAAAAAAAAAAAAGAGAGAGAGAGAGAAAAAGAAAAAAAAAAGGAAAAAAAAAAGAGAGAGAGAGAGAAAGAGAGAAAAGAAAGAAGAAAAGAAATAAAGGGCATCCAAACTGGAAAACAAGAAATAAAATTATCTGTTCTCAGATGACATAATCCTTTATGTAGAAAATCCTAAAGAATACATCAAAAAATGGTTACAACTAATAAACAATTTCAGTAAAGTTTCAGGATACGAAATCAACATACAAAACTCAGTTGCATTTCTATACATTAACAAGGCATTTCTATACATTAACAAGGACCAATCTGAAAAAGAAGTTAAGAAAACAATCCGACTTACTATAGCATCAAAAAAGATAAAATTCTTTGGACTAAAATCTAACCCAGGAGGTGAAAGACTTGTACACTGAAAACTACAAAATGTTGTGAAAAGAAATCAAAGAAGATAAAAATAAATGGAAAGAGATCCTGTGTTCATGGTTTGGAAGATTCAATATTTTTAAACTGTCCATACTACCCAAATCAACCTACAGGTTAAATGCAATCCCTATCAAAATCCCAACATTATTTTTTGCAGAAACATAATAAACATCCTAAAATTCATATGGAATTTCAAGAGACCCTTAATTGCCAAAACAATCTTCAAAGAGAAACAAAGGTGGAGGCCTCATATTACCTGATTACAAAACACACTACTAGAGTGGACTGTTGAAAAACACGGGGGTTAGGGCCGCTGCCCCCCTGTGAACTTAAAAATCCATGGATAACTTTTGACTCTCCCAAAACTTAACTACAGTCATCCCTCAGTATATCCATGAGGGAACTGGTTCCAGGAGCCTCCGCAGATACAAAATCCACATATGCTCAAGTGCCATATATAAAATGGCACAAGATATTCTCAACTGTGGATGTCCGTGGTTGGTTGAATCGCGGATACGAAACCTGGGTATGTGGAGGGCTGACTGTATGTTTATTGAAAAAATCCACGTATAAGTGGACCCATGCAGTTCAAAACTGTGATGTTCTAGGATACAGTACAGTAATCAAAAAAGTGTGGTACTGGCATGAAGACATATAGACCAATGGAAGAAAATAAAGAGACAGAAATAAACCCTTGTATATATGGTCAAATGATTTTTGATAAGGGTGCCAAAGCTACACCAATGGGGAAATGAAGATTCTTCAACAACTGGTGCTGGGAAAACTGATATCTACATGCAAAAGAATAAAGTTTGACCCTTACCCCAAACCATATACAAAAATTAACTCAAAATGGATTAAAGACCCAAACATAAAACCTGAAACTATAAAGCTCCTAGAAGAAAACATAAAGGAAAAGCCTCATGACATTGGTGTGGCACAGCAACAAAAGTAAAATAGGAAAATGGGACTATATTGGATTTAAAAACTTTTGTGTCAAAGTAAACAATCAACAGAGCGGAAAAAAATAATCTACAGAATGGGAGAAAATATCTGCAAATCGTATATATCTGACAGGGGTTAATATCCAGAATTTATAAGGAATGTCTAGAACTAAACAACAACAACAACAAAATAACAATTAAAAAATGGATGAAGGAGTTGAATAGACAATTTTCAAAGAAAGTATACAAATGGCCAACAAGCATGAGAAAAAGATATTCGATATCACTAATTAAGAAAAATGCAAATCAAAACTACATTGAGATACCACATTATACCCATTAGGATGGCCACTATCAAGAGAACAAAAAATAACAAGTGTTGGCAAAATTTAGAGAAATTGGAACCCTTGTGCACTGCTGGTGGTAAAGTAAAATGGTACAGCCACCGTGGAAAACAGCAACAGTGGTCCCTCAAAAAAATTAAATAGAATTACCATGTGATCCAGCTATCCCATTTCTGGGTATAGAGCCAAAAGAATTCAGAGCAGGATCTCAAAGAGATATCTTCACACCCATGTTCATCCAGTATTACTCACAACGGCCAAACAATCCAAATGTTCTTTGACAGATGACTGGATAAAGAAAATATGGTAGATACATACAATAGAATATTATGCAGCCTTTAAAAAGAAGGAAATCCTGTCATATGCTACAACATGGATGAACCTCGAGGAAATTTTGCTAAACAAAATAAGCCAATCACAAAGGACAAATACTGTGTTATTCCACTCACATGAAGCATTTAAAGTAGTCAAAGTCATAGAAAAAGGTAGTGTAGTTGTCAAAAATGCTGAAGAGATGGGAGGGGCAATTAGGGTTTAGCGGGTATAGAGCTTCAGTTTTACAAGATAAAAAATTTCTAGAGATCTGTTTTACAACAATGCAAACATACTTAACACTACTGAACTAGATACTTAAAAATGGTTAAGATAATAGATTTAATGTTTTTTTAACCACAAAAAAATATCAAATGTTAACTCTAGAACCAAAATATGCAATTTTTTAAATAGGAACATACTGTACACAACAGAAGAATGAATTGATGAACAGGAAAAAAGTCAGCAGAAAATACCCAGGCTGAAGCATGAAGAGAAAAAATGGAAAATATGAAGGGGAAAAAAAGTGTAAAAGACATATGGGACATTGTCAAAAATTTAGGATATAGGAGAGGAAAGAAGAACACAGAAGTAGTTTTGAAGAAACTATCAAAACTCATTTGGCCATATATACAAGGGTTTATTTCTGTCTCTTTATTTTCTTCCATTGGTCTATATGTCTTTATGCCAGTACCGCACTGTTTTCCAAACTAACACTTTTATGTAAATATATGTGCACTTTTCCATATATTTATATTTTCACCATGGGTTAAAAAAAACCCCACGTTACTTATAAGAGACTTTTAACTATAAAGCTACAGAAAAATTTAAGGTTTTAAAAGGATGGAAAAAGATGAACTATGCAAACGCTAACCAAAAAAAACCAGTATACCAATGATATGAGAAAAAATAGACTTTAAGGCAAGAAACGTTACTAGATATAAAGGACATTTCGTGATGATAAAAAAGGTCAATTTACCAGGAAGATATAAGAATTCAAAAGGTGTATACACCTAAAGAGAAATTCAAAATATATAATGCAAAAAACAAATGAAGTATAGACAAATGGCTATTTTTCAAAGATATAAATATATCCACTGGACATATACAACATGTAAAAAAGATGGTATCAATGAGAAAAGAGAGAAGGGGGAATATGAAAATGGAGATCGAAGAAATAAAAGAAGAAAACAACAAAACAATCCGAAATAAACAAGAAATCTTGCCTTGATCAAGCGGTCAACAGACTTTTTCTGTAAAGGGCAAGATGGTAAAATATTTTAGGTTTTGAAGGCCAAAAGGCAAAATCAAGCAATTATTATTGCCAAAAGGCTAACGGTACCTTTTATATTTTACATTTAAAAATGTAAGAACCTATTCTTGGCTCACAGACCTTACAAAAACAGGCAGTGGGTGGGCTAGACTTGGCCAACCCCTGTCCTGACAGTGACAGTGAGCCATGAACAAAGGTGGGATTCACCCAACTCACTGTGCCTAAGGCCTTAATTTATAAAAGGAAGAAAAGGAGGAAGGGAAGGAAGGAGAAAACAGACTGTCCTACCTTCTGCTATTTACTGCCATCTCCACACTGAGAAGGAAGCATGTTCTAGGACAGTGGACACACATGGGGGTCCCAGGAGCAGTATTCACAAGCACCTCCTGCTTTATAGGACAAATGCACCCTTTCCACCAGGGCAATCTGCGAGGTGGGTGTCTGATACTCCCTAATATGCAAACATGGGCCTGGGTCAGCACCTCGCCCTGGGAGGGTCTTGTAAGAATCATTAACGGACACAAAAGTAAAGCCAGAAAAGAAAAACAAAGATCTGCTGAGACTGGCGGTCCTTGGTCACCACCAACTAGCCTGTAACAACCCAAAAGCAAACGAGAAGCAACGCACTGAGCAGAGACTGCTTTTGTCTACTTGATATCTGTCCTTCCTTTCTTCCTTGCTAAAAGAACCTGTTACTGGAGGCCGGCAATCTGCCACGTAAAATCCTGCCTTCTCAGCTCTCTTGCAGATGCAAGTGGCCAATGAAATGCAAGTAGAAGTCACAGGGTGATGCTTCCAGGTAAGCTATTTAAAGAGACACACTCAACTGAGGCACACTTTTGCCTTGCACCTTCCTCCTTCCTGGTACCTGAACATGGACATGATGGCTGGAACTGCAAAGAGATGTGGTGGCCATGGGGAGATCTTGAGGATGGAAGGATCTACATCCTACAGATGGTAGACTCTGGAAACAGTAGTACCATCATCCCAACCCGCCACCTACCTCTAGACTACCTTTGTGCAAAAACAAAGTGAATCTCTATCTTGTCTAAGTCACTGCTGTGAGGCTTCTGTGGTCAAGAGCAAACCTTGTCCTGACAGCCTGTTGAAAAAGCGAGTTCAGCCACTTGCCTTCAAAGAGTGGAATGGAGTCACTGGAAAAGGTGTCCAAGGCAAGGAGGTCTTTCCCATCTTTGGACCCATTGCGTTTGTGCTTATGTTTCCTTCGAAAGAAAGATCTGCGTGCAGCTGCGGACAGTGTCTTTGCAGCATTGTTGTCATCTCTGACTTCGGACATGCTGAGCCTCCTGGAGAATTCTTGGTCCATCCTGCAGTCACAGGAAACAGTGGTGCTGGGAAGGGCCGTAGGGACCATCTCCCGCCTGCCTTGCCCATGAGGAGAGTGAGAGCTGGGACTCCATGCTCCTCCCTACTCCTCTGTAGGTCACATGGCTACTTCACCCACCCACGCCACCAAGGACCCCTGAAACCACCGCTTTGGGGGCAACACAAACACTAGTGCTGGGGGCAAGCTCTCAGCAGGCCGATTTCTATATTCAGATGAGTGTCAAAAAAGGAAATGCTAGGCAGCCCTCACTTGATGATACTACAAATTATCCTCCCCGCCATAAAAAGGAATGAAGCACTGATACACACTGCAACACGAATGGACCTTGAAAACACTGGGCTAAGTAAAAGAAGTCAGTCACAAAATACCACATAGTATGAAAGTCTAGAACAGGGAAATCTATAAATGTGGAAAGCAGATTAGTGGTGGCCTAGAGTTGGGAGAAGAAGGCAGAGAAAACAGAAGGACAAGGTGGGGGATAGATAAATGGTACAGAGCTTCTTTCTGAAGTGATGAGAATGTTCTAAATTTGACTATGGTGATGGTTACACATACCTGTGAATACACTAAACTGAATTGTACACTTTGGGTAAATTGTATGGTATGTAAAATTTATCTCAATAAATGTGTTAAAATAAAAAGTTATATCTCTTAAGTTGCCACTGGGCTTCTGTATAGCACTGATTTACGTACAGCATTGACTTATGCTAAGATCAGCTCTCTGGACAAGCAATTTTGGCAAAATGTATAGACAAGAAGCCGAGACGAGCAGCAGGAGTCCTCCAGTGACTGAGGCCCTGACCCCTATACCCTGACATAGCACCACAGGTGCAAACCCTCCTTCCACCTCCAAACCCAAACATGGAGAACACTTACACATATTTGCTGGGGATCTGGCCACGCTGGATCTTCTGGGCATTCTCATCCAACTGCCAGGCCATCCAAGATCCAAAAGTGCCCTGGGGCAACGTGTCATCAACATAGAGGATGTCATCTTTCTTAAAGCTCAGTTCATGCTCCACCTCTGCCAGCCGGTCATACAGGGCCCTGGACCAGGTGATGGAGGGAACAGGATCAGGAGGCTGCTGGTCAACAGCCATGTGTCTTGGCAGCCAGGCTCCTGGGGTAGCTTTTATTCCTTTTGTGGCCTCTGATCTTAGGGAGTGAGAAGGAAGCTACGAGCCCTTCCTAGAAACCGCCCGATGCCTGTCCCCAACACACGTCACATTGTACTTCAGGGCACTGTGGACACACAGCAGAAGGATCTGCAGACCTGGGTCAGGAGGAAACCAAGACAGGAGTATAGCCCACAGAAAAACAGGGCTCTGTGGCCTCAAGATCCTCCAGGCCCCAAATCCTAAGAGAAGCCCATTTGGCCCTTCAAGTCCTTAAGAGTTTTCCTAAGTTACAAGCATCTCGTCATGAGCTTGTGGTTTGGGCCCCTAACAGTGATGATCACATCCCCACCACTTGGGCGCAAGAACACAGAGACATTTACCAGGAACGATTTCCACACCAAAAACCCCTCTCCTGGCCCTGAATCCGTAGAACCCCTGGCCACCCGCACCTGATGTAGAAGCTGTCTCCAGGCAGGCCCTTGACTTTGGTGAACTCCTCTGGGCGGTACTGCACCTTCAGGCGGACACCATCCTTGGGCTTCAGCATCTCCACATAGACCTCCTCCACTGTCTTGCTGCGCACGTCCAGACCACCATACTGCCCAAGGACAGGAGGTTGGGGTCAGAGAGCAGAAGCCGGTGACGGCTTGGGCACCCACAAAAGGCAGGTTGTGGGATAATGCAGAGATTCAACCTCCTGTTAACTGGGAATCTGCCTGCCTCCCCTCCAGAAGGCAGGGCCGAGTTCACTGCAGTGTCTGCACTGCCCTTGATGGCTTCTCCCAGGAGAATCCCTGTTCTGCCCCCCAGCAAATGAAGGCCATTTAAAACACACTTTGTTTTACTTACACTATTTGTATCTCTCAATACCTACAACCTAGCTCCCCCATCAATGAGACCCAGTGAGAGGGAGATGATACCTTCCACCAGAGCAGAAGTCTTGCTGCTGACAAGGGCAGAGCATCTTGCCTCTGGATGCCAGTGCCCAAGCTGATGCCTGACATGCACATGAAGTAGGGCAGAGACTGCTATTCAGCAGCTCAGAACTCACCTCGAGGATAAGATCCCCCGGCACGAGGCCATCGGGGCCCTTGGCGGGACTGTCATCCTCCATCTCAGCCACAAATACCCCATGCAGGTTCCCACCACATAAATGCACTCCAAGCTCCAGTTGGGACTTTTTGACGAAGACGACTCGTGGCTCTGGGGTCTTCTTGTTGGTATCGCCCACCATCCTTTCAGGAAGGAAAATTAAGTTCCTCAATCATGCACAGAGAGGGAGGAGAGCACAAAAAAGACAAAAATGGCTATGCCCTAACCATTTCTGCTCGAACCAGGTCTCATGCGGTCTCAGAACCATAGGGAGCTGAATGGTGGTCTCACTGCAGGCTCCAGTTCTAGGGACTTAGGTTATAGGCAGGATACTGAGGGCTGGCAAAGGTGAAAACATGGCCTCACGTCACAAAGCCAGTTGGGAATAGAGTGGCCATGTGGTCCTCTCCCCATCTCCCCTACAGCTACCATGTGTGCCCCCTCCTCCTGCCCACAGGAAAGCAGACGCCTCTTCCTGACTTCTTTCCACATCCACCTTTTGCATAGCTGTCCCCAGCTCATCCTGAATGTTCTGACTTAGCTGTCACCAGTCCCTGCCGCACTCCTGGCTGCTCCATCTTGGCCTGTACTCCCCCTTCCAGTGCGTCAGCTGTGCTGCATAAGTCCAGCAGCAGTCTGTCACGCTCTAAACCCAGAGCTCCTTGGGGGATATCACTAGTGATAGCGAGAGCCCTGGGAATGGCTGCGTGATGACTGTGGAATTCCGTCTAAAGCCAGTTAGAAAATGAGTGAATGAGAAAAGGGAGAGAGAATGAAGAGATAGAGCTAAGAACACTCAATGAGACCAGAGAAAAAGAGAAAGCAAGAAAAGAGAGGACGGAGGAAGGAAAAAAGGAATAGCATGCTCCCCACCCCAAATCCTGACACCCTGGTGTACAGACTGCAGCACAGGCTAACGTCAGCTGTCCAGGGCCCACATCCCTCAGAGGATGTACTCAGGCCATGACAATGACCGGCCTGGCCCACTCTGCTCACCAAGGCACACAGGTGGAAGGCTCACAGAACACATTTGCTGACCTGGAGCTGGGGGTGCTCTGCTTGGCGGGGGGTGTGCTGGGGCCCTCGTCCTGCTCCATCAGTGGGTCAATGACAGAGGGATGCTCTGGGGTGGTGGCACCACTGCCCTGGAGAGTGGAGTGGGTGCCAACAGGGTCCAAGTGGGAGCTGGGGATGGAGGACAGAAAGAACAAGGAATAGCAGCACACAGACTTCAGCCACCCTGAGCCAGCCTTCTCTGGTGGTGACTGGAGCTGGGCTGTGAACAGGGACCAGGTCACATGGCTCTGTACCCTGAGCCCTAAGAACAGATGCCCCGGGAGTTGGACTCTGGTCCTTTACCCTGCAGGATCTGCCTGTCCTCTCCTCACCACTTGTCCTCAACTCAGGGATCCTCTACAAAGGTGTTGGCCTAGAGGACACATGAATACTGTCCCTTTTCCTGTTTGTGCATCTCATCTCCTGCTCACTTCGCTGAGCTGTGCAGTGGGCGTGTCTTACCCTTCTCTCATCTGCCCTGTAATCCACAGCACAGGGACAGATACTGGCAGTATCTGCTTGTGGACAGGGGTTGTGTGTGCAAATCCCACCCTAGTGCCTCAGCTCCTGGCTACCACACCTCTACGCGTGGGCCCCCTGCTTCACAGGAGAACCAGTCATCTGTTTCCACACTCTATTTCAGAAGAAGACATCTTCCCTCTATATGTCCTTTTTCTAAAATCCAGGGCTGGTCAACTCTCCTCTTACAGCAGCAGAATGCCCAGAACTTGCAGTTGGCAACCCGGTTCACCCTGCAGTAAGCCATGCACCTGCCACACCCATCTCTCCTCCCCCAGCCCAGATGGCCCCACAGAGACCCAGGCCCTCACCTGGACCGGGAGTGGCTGCTGAGCTGGTGCATGTGTGGATTGTACTGGGCCAGGATGGTGATGGTGTCGCACTGCTGCCCAATGATGAGCCGGGCCTGCTGCTCTGTGGCGCTCCGCAAGTTTATGCCATTGAACTAGGAAATACCCAGAGCAGGCTCAGTGACGTGGTGGGGGCTAGGGATGTGAGGAGCACCACTTTTCCACAGAAGGGAGGCGAGGAGAGGAAGGAGGAAAGAAAGCAGTGCAGAAAGGCAGCTCCTGCTTACCTCAAGTAACTGATCCCCATACTCAAGGCCAGCCTGGTGAGCGATGCTCCCCCCGGTCACCTTGGAGACGTAGACACCGCCCTTCTCTCCACTCACGATGGAGATGCCCAGGGGCTCTGAGCCCTTCTGCAGCTTAACATGGCGTGGCTCTTCCATGTAAGGCCTTGGAAGAGAGACAACAATTTGGGGGTCTCGAACCCAAAGGAAAGGTTTGGGGAAATCTGAGGTCAGGCATGCAATCAGCTATGCAGATAACGGCCAGGGAGCGCCAGATGCTCCTATAATGATATACCTGGATGGGAACACAATGACCCCCACCTTTGTATGACAATGGTACAGATTCCTATAACCTCATGCTACACAAGCACAACACCCCCAAATGGACATGGAAGCACCAAAACAAAGAATGGTCCATGTGAACTATAAACACTGATATATACAGGGAAAAAGCACAAAGATTTTCATGATGTGAGAAGAGGTCCCTCAATGTGCAATTTACAAACCCCCAGTGGGGTCTAAAGATGCCCTGTGAAGGAAAGAAATGACTTCTGAGATGATGTTCACCCAAGAAGAGACGATATAAAGTATCTGTTTTTATATTTACCAGTACACAGGAGTGATGTAAAAATGATCATGGAAACTAAGCTACTGCAGACCCAAGCCATTAAAAAGGGAGAGGGGAGGCTTGGGGCAAGGCGGCAACCATGCACTTGCTGGTTCAGGGGGAGCTGACCACCATGCCAGGGGCACAAGGGGGCTCGAGCAGGGGCCTCATGTCAGGCCAACCTCAGACTCCTCAAGGAGGAGGACCTGGGCCTGGCGGCCATGGGCAGTCTCAGAAGAGATCTGTGGTGGTGGAGACATCTGGAAGGTACGAAAGATTAGAAAGAGAGGGATGCTTAGAGAAGGAAGACAAGCACAGATGCCTGGAACGTAACAAAGACAGTAAAGTGACACTGAGTCATCCTATCAGGATTGTACTTCATGCAGCCCTGAGCAGTTCCTGTCAGAAAAATGGTGGCCAAAGGCTGAGGGAGGCCCAATAGGTGTGCCATCTCCTTGGGCTGCCCTCCAAAGCACATCAGTGGGGGTGGGTCCACCTGGCAAAGGACGAGAGTGCCAGCAAGCAGATGTCAGGCCCTGAAACACCCCACCCTGCCACCTAGAGGAACAAGTCTCTCAAGCTCAGTGGGCCTCAATGTGTGTCTCCATTGCCCAGGGCCCAGTTGTCTGGGGATGCTGAGACCAAAATACTTCTTGACTTGTTGCTTCTCCTCTCCCGCCCTCCAAAGCATTCTCCCTTCCCAAACTCACCCACTCTGCAATGCCTTCCTTGACCCTCCAGCTCAAATGCATCAGTCCCTGGCCTGCACCTTCTGTCACTATGAGACTTAACATGCATTAGGGCACCAGGCGATTTAGAGTTTAAGAGCCCTTAGTGAGCAGTCACCCCAACACCATCCTCATGCCCCAGCCTAGGATAACATTGAGGCCCAGAGCCTCGGGCAGGCTGCCACCCCAAGTCAGCCCACAGGCGTAGCAGAGCTACTTTCTGGTCTGCGGCTCCTCATTCCCCACTGAATGAATACCCTTTCCTCTGTTCTACCTCCGAACAGTGCATCTGTCTCAATAAAGGAGCAGGTAACTAAATCATAATAGCCATACGATGGAAGCCATGAAGCCATTATGAATAACATAAATCAGGATTTACTGACATGGAAAAACAAAGAGGACATGCTGCGGCTGAGAAGACAGACTGCTGGGGAAACAGACAGTGAATGCTAGGTGACTTAAAGCAGAGTGGCTTTGCCTGGGATCAACTCAATGGGAACTCTCTAACTCCTGCTGCTTCTACCAACAAGCCCCTTCCCTTGACCAAGTCCTGGCCCACTGTGGAGATGCACCGTCCACAGCTGTGCCCAGTCCAGATGCCTAAGTCACACTCACCTGTCCTTTCTCCGTTCCCCGAGGGCCACGGGGTTGACAGCAATTCTAGGCAACGTGGAGGCTGAGGTCTGGGACTGGCTACAAGAGGAGAAGGTGTCGATGTTGAGGGGTGACTGTGGAGGTGTGCTGCATTCAGAATGCGACAACGAACCTGCCAAAAGAGGTGTGGGGTAATGCGGGCCGCAACCTTTCATCTCAGTTCTCCAGCAGCCAAGACCCAGAGAGAGACATGATCCAGACACACAGCCCCACACTGCGGCCACATCACATGGCCTTGAACTCAGATGCTGGGCTCTGTACGGCCTTTTTATCCCCCCATCACTAGGCCCGAAGCTGAACGCAACCAGTGTTTACTGAGGCTGAGATGATGAGGCAGCTTAGGCTGTGCCCAGACATTCCACCGTGAGGACAGTGAGAGATGAGGCAGAGAAGGGAGTGCTGAGTTCTCACCTCTGTCAGAGCCCATGATAGAACGGGGATATCTTGGCGTTGATGGGATTTTAATGCGTTCTGCCTTGAACTGCAAGTTGCTTGAAGACCCTATGGTTCCATAAAGGGACACAACTTTAGGCCTGTGATTAAACATGCCCCCCTGCCACTCCCTCACCACTACTTTACTGGTCAAGAAAGATACACAGTATGACAAAATGCAAAGCAGGGACCTACCATTTATCCCCGAGGGGGCCTAAATGTAGAACAGGCAAGAAAAGCATATATTTAACACCCAGTATTTGAATAAATTGTGCAGGCCCAGATTGCTCCAGAATAGGATCACATATATCTCACTTTTAGCCCTGGAATGGGGACAGTAACCCAAGTGACAGAGGCAGCTGCTCATCATCTCTCACAAGGCTGGAAGCAGCGCCACCAGAGTCTTGTTACGAGGCAAATGCTAGAATGTGCTCTGGGCTGCATTTCCTATAAGTGAACAGCAATGCGGAGCCCCCTAGAATGACCGACAAGCTCAGGGACAAGCAACAGGCCTCCTAGGCCAAGGGGCCACGGCGAACAACCACCTGGCCACTAGAGAAAGCTGAAGAGACACAGAAGAAGGCCAAAGGAAATTGCTCTGCATGTAGTGCGGAGCTGACCTCAGCCCCGGCAGGGCAGGGGACCATGTGGGCAGGCCACCAGGAGGTCTGGGCATGAGGATGCAGAGATGTAAAAAAGGCTGCACTAGTGAGAAGGTTCTAGTAGTGCAGTTACCAAGGCGGGCACTGGAAGGCAGTGAGTTGGATCCGTGGGAGGCTCTCATCTCAGAGTAGTCGCTGCAGGCCCTATGGCTCAGGTCTAGGCTCAGGCGCCCCTGGTGCTGGACACTGCGAGAGAACCAGACAGGTGAGGGGCATGGGAGGAGGACGAAATGCAACCACGAGGGAGAAACACAAACACGAGTGACAGGCCAGGACCAAGGCCTTGCTGGGCCAGCAGAAGGGAGGCCCAAAAGCCACTGGCTGTCATCTGAGGACAGCGGCCTACCCGAAGCTATGCCCAGAGGGAACATCTACCAAGGGCCCTGTATGTGGTAGAGAGGGCCACACAAATGGAGCAAGAACGGCACATCGCTTCAGCCTCAGCCAGGCTCGGGTTCACTGGAGAAAGGGCTTCTACAGGGAAAACAGAGGCTCTGAATCCTGAGCCAGGCCAGGGAGTTGGAGCCTCTCTTCCAGGGTAGGCAGCGAAAGGCTACAGGGACACTGAGGACCTTGGAGAGGGAACTGCGAGCCTCACTCAGAATGTGCTTAGAAAATCGAAGGGCAGAGAGCCCAGGCATCACCCACATCAGGTGGCCTGCAGTCAGGCCCAACAGTGTCCTCTTCTAGCTACTTGAGACTACGTCTCTTCCCTGCCTAAAACCCTCTGGTCTTGAAAAAGTCTCCACTGTATTCACAATAAAACCCAAACTCTGCATTATGGCTGAAGATCCTGCAGGATTTGTGCCCTGGGCTTGTCTTCTGACTCACCATACCTTTGCCAAGCTCTTCCTACTCTGTCCCAAGAGCCCTCCACACTGTTCCCAGGTGCATGGGCTATAGCACCGACAGCACTCCTTCCTGGAGACTCCACCCCAGGTCTTGTGCAGCTGGCCTCTTCTTAGCCTTGTGGACACAGCAGCATCCCACACACCAGGAGGCCCTCCCCACCAATCTAACTCTTCACCTGCTTCTTGTTTTACGGTTTTCAGCACCACCTGGTATCACTGTGCTTACTCTCTTCTGTCTGCCTCCCACACGTGCACACAAACAACAGATGAGAAGAAACTTGTCTATTTAGTTCTCCACTGTATCCCCTTAGGAAACAGAACAGTATATGGCACGTAGTGGATGCTCAATAAAAACTTGTCAAATGATTGAATGAATAAGAGCGATCTTGAGCCAATCCACTCGCTTTCTAAGGCTCAGTTTGCTCATCTATAAAACAAAGACAATAACAGTCCTTAACTTCTAAGGTTGCTGTGGTGATTACAAAGGTCTGAGCACAGTGCCTGGTACATGAGCACTGAAGCATTGACTATGATCACTATTATCTTCATTTAAATACCTTTTCAAGCCCCATGTTGGCGAATCAAGAGAGTACCCTTAAAGTTCACTTTCCCGTGGGTTCCAGGGCTGGTCACACCAGCCCCTAACCCAGGTAGGCAAGAAGCTTCTCTGTACACAAGGAACTTTTTTGTACCAGTGGTTTTATGTCCAGGTGGGCTTGGGTGGCTGGGGTGCAAGGAGCTGTGGGGTGACTTCACATACCTGGGATGCAAACTCTGAGGGCCAGTCTCTCTGGGGACAGGCGGAGAGCTGCAAGGGCCAACCCTGTGGCTACGCACGGTGTAGATGGGGTTCCTCAGGATGGAGCTCACAGTGGTGCTCGGGGCCAGACTCCGGGGAACAGTGCCTAGAAATGAGCGGATGAAAACAGTCGCCCCAAAGTCTCCAGCCAGCCCCAGACCCATGCAAGATTGTAGCCTTTCTCTATCTATAAAGTGGGAGAGCTGTCTTCATGCTTCCTCTTTCCCGGGCTCGTATGGGGAGAAAGCATTCTGCAAAGCTAAGAAATGTCACTGGCACAAGACTAAACATCACCCCAGACAGGGCCGCAATTGCCAGCTCTTTGGACCTCTGGGCTGAAGATATAGAGCCCCTCCTTGAATTGACTGCTTCCGCTCCCCCTGGGGCTGGGCAGCCCTGTGGGGACCACAGTGACCCTCCTCCTCCCGGCCCTGCCCAGCTGACTCACCCACAGATGCCCTGTTGTGGTAGAGTGGGGGGTTGCTGTGCCGGCTGGAGTGCCCCGGCGAGTAAGGAGACCACTCCTGGAGCTCTGGGGAGAGATCTCCACTGGCCGGGACACACTTCTGCTCCTGCAGAACCAAAGGAAAGAGGGTGTGGCTGGAAGCAGGGAAATGCGCAGGTGTTTGTAGGACTTCTGTCCTTTACACACTACCTCCTCCCACTTGGTCACAAAGAGTGACAGTTGGGAGAGGTCATTACTCATTCATGTGTAAGTTGCCTTACACATCTGGAAGGGAAGAACTTCTTTCAAAAATACTCCAGAAGAAAACCACAGAGAAACTTTTTTCAAATAAATAAAGATTACATATGTAGAAGGTGGACCACATGTGTGCCTCAGAAACATATATAATAACTGCACAACTTATAGAGCTGTGTGAAGCTCTCTGTCTACAGAGAGCAGCATGAACTGTTCTGCTCACAGCAATCTCTCCCTTCCAGAAATGACGACAGCACCCACAATAACAAGCGGGCCTGTCCTGCTGCTGGCTAAAAGATTCACAGCTGCTGTCTTCTCTCAAAAATTTAAAGGCAAGTCTATGTCACAAGTTTTCGTTGTACAAGTTCAAAGGCTTCTTGTTGAATAAGCAAATCAAACGCTATGCCCAAGAATGTGTTTCTCTCTTGGCATCATATTCCCAGTAACATGCACACCCCACATTACTCTCCAGTCTCCTAAGGAGGGCTGCTTCTCACTGGCATCCACCTGCTACCCCTCTCCCTTTCCTCAGGTAGGTATTGAGAGCGAAGGCAAAGAAGCCAGGGCCAAGTCCGAGCCTGGTGACACTGGTGTAGAGCTACTTGGGACGTTCTCACAGCCAACTACCCCTCCAACCCCACACCCCTCACCACAGAGTTGGCTCTACCTCTTGGAAGTGAGCAGGAATCACCACCGGCGTGAGCTTGGGCCGGAAGCTAGGGGCAGACTTTGGCCGGCGGCGTTTCTGACCCAGCTCGTCCATCTTCTGGGAGGTGAGGTCCTCATCACAGGACTTCTTGGCGGGCAGGTAGGAGGAGTCTCCATCTGCTTCAGGGTAATAGCTGGAAGCAATGCGGACCCTAGCCTTGCGGGGGGGCGAGGCATGCATGGGTTCCCCAGGGTCCACGTCAGGGGGCAGGGCGCTCGGGGGGCTGGTGGATGGGGAGCTGCCCACCAAAGTAGCCTCTGACTCAGAGCTGGTTTCCAGCCTGTGCTGGAACTTAATGGAGTCACTTCTCTTGGGAGGTTTGGGGGGTGTCAGAGGCCCTGCCCTCTTGGAGGGCTGGGGGGAATGAGCAGGGCCAGGGCCTGGGAGCAGGTAGTCTATTTTGGGGGGTGTCTGGGGACGTTTGAAAGTGTTAGGGTCAAAGATAGACTTTCTTTGCTTTGGCTTCTTGTAAACAGAGAGCTTCTCAGGCCCTGCGGTGGAGCTGAGCACAGCCTTGGGCCAGGTCCCGCCACTGTTAGAGCTCTCGGGCTCATCCTTATCCAGAGGGGCCTCTGTTGCCCCACAGGGGCCTGCCTCAGTCTCGAAGGGAAGCAATGGTCGCCGGCTACGCACATCCAACAGTCCATAGCCACGCTCCCCAGAGCCATCTGAACGGAAGGAGCTCAGGCTACGCTCAGAGGCGCTGGGACAGGCCTGGGGGGAGACTGGGAAAGGCGCCACAGGGAACGGCTTGTGCAAGAAAGAGCTGCTGCCTCCTGGGTGCCCCTGCTCCTTCCTGTCCTCCAGCCTATCTGCGTAGAAGATGTCCGTCTGCGTGGAGTTGTTGTGCTGCATCAAGTTACGTTTATTCTGAGCGTGGACCTCCGTGCCATGGGCTCGGAAACTCAACATCTTATCAGAGTCCTTGATGTTTTCAAAGATGTTCTGGCCACTCCATGAGGAGCTCTGTGGGAACACCTAAGCAAGGAATGCAGAGGAGTGAGAAAGAGAGCGGGAAAGGCCGCAGAACCTATTCAGCGATAAAAAGAAATGAGCTACCAAGCCATGAAAAGACATGGAGAAACTTAAACGCATATTACTAAGATAGAAGCCAATCTGAAAAGGCTATGTATTACATGATTCCTACTGTATGACACTCTAGAAAAGTCAAAACAATGGAGACAGTAAAAAAATCAATTGTTTCCAGGGAAGGGCAGAGAGAGAGAGAGAAAGGGATGAACAGGTGAAACGCAGGGTTTTTATTATAGTGAAACCATTCTGTATGATACTATAACGGTAGGTATATGTCATTATACATGTATCCAAACCCACAGAATATACAACACCAAGAGTCAATCCTCATATAAACTATGGACTTTAGTTAATAATAATGTATTAATATTGGCTCAATTTTAACAAATGAACCCCACTAATAAAAGATGTTGATAACAGAAAAAGCAGGGAGTAAAGGGGAGGAATGTGAGAACTCTGTACTAGCTCAACTTTTCCATAAACCTAAAACTGCTCCCCGAAAAAGTCTAGTAATTTTCAAATAATTTTTTAAAATGTCTCTTAATTAAGTGGATGGGCCTACTTTCTCTAACATTCTGTTATCAATCTTTTCAACTATGTAGAAAAGTTGATAGAAAAGTACAATGAACGTCCATAAACCCACCATTAAAATTCAACAATATTTTACCAAATTGTCTATAATCTACCAATATTGCAGCACATTTGAAAGTTACAAATAAGACATTTCACCCCAAATGTCTTTATCATGTACTTTATCATGCCCCACAGGCAGAAGAGCAGGGACAAGATGAGGCAGGGCCTTACCTTGAGGAGGGAGAGAGTCAGGGAGTCCTGGCAGCTACGCAGCAGAGATTCACACTCATTCAGAGATTTGTTGTCCAGTGCAATGCCATTGATCTAGGGCCAGACAGAGAACCCATGAGGCCTGCCACCAGGAAAGGGGCTCTGCCTGCCTGGCAACCCATGTTGGGCAGTGGGCCTGGTTCTGTAAGGTGCCCAAGTCTAGAGTTGGCAAGGGAAAGAAAGACTCTCCCCAGTAAGACCTAAGGAATCCAGGCAAGGCTTCTAAAGCAAACGAAATACACAGCCTTAAAATCACTCTAGGAGAAGGTACTTGTCTGACAGGGACCAGAACACCAAGGGCCCTGGGGTAATAGCCCTTTCCTGCTGCTTCTTGCTGCATGATGCTGGACCAAGACTCAGAACTCCTTCATACACAAATTGGAAGATGAACACGTCTGTCCCCCAGGGGCGAGAAGAGACAGAAAACGAGATCATGTTGTGAAAGTCCTTTTTAAACTATAAAGTAACATGTGAGATGCAGTATCGTCATTGCTCACAAAGACCCATCACAACTGCTTATGCCTGAATCTCTGTCCATATCTCACTCAAATGTGCTCCAGTCTTCTAAAAAGTATATGTGCAACAGGTGGATGGTTAGACCAGGCTGCACCCATACCATGGAACAGTATCCCACAATGAGAAGAAACACACTATCCATATATCAAACCACGTGATAAGTTTCACAACACCACACTGAGCGGAAAAGCCAATCTCAGAAGGTCACGTGCTATATGACTACTTTTATAATATTCTTGAGATGACAAAATTGTGGAGATAGAGAACAAATTAGTTGCCAGGGGTTATGGATGAGGAGGAATAAGATGTGGGTGTTACTATAAAGGGGTAACACAAGGGAGATCGCAGTGGTAGAACAGTCCTATATCTTGACTTTTTATTTTTTTGGTTACCTAACCATGATAAAATGACATAGAACTAAACACACATATTGTACCAATGTCAACTGCCTGGTTTTGATATTATAGTTATGTAAGATGTAACCATTAGGGGAAATTGGGTGAAGGGTACATAGCACTTCCCTATATTATCTTTGCAACTTTATCTATTTTTAATATTATAACTGAATTAAAATTATTTCTGTAATTATTTCAAGATCAAAAGTTAACTATATATGCAGATGGATTAGTTTGGAGTGGTGGATCAATTTGGTTGTTTTTTCTTCATAATTTTTCCATATCTTGAAAATTTTCACAATGGCCATCATGCTTTTAAAGTCTGGTGGCCCCCAAATCTGAAAAAGATTTGAAGCAATGAGCTCCTCCACATACTGCAGGTGGGACTGAAAGGCCACAACCTTTTGGGGACACAAGGGTAAGTACATATCAAATGTTAAAAGCTCATCTGATCCAGCAATTCCCCCAACCCAGAAATGTTCCCCTGTGGCACACTCCCACAGCCCCACGGAGGGAGGTAGCAGTGGCCATGAAACACTACTTGTAAAGGCAAAGATGCCCTAACTGTCCATCGAGGGGGCTGGTTAACAGCCTGTGCTGCTGCTGCTAGGAACACGCAGTTACTGAAATGACCTAGGCATGAACATGGAAGGACCCCAGGGCACGCTGTTAAAAATAATAACAAGGTTAACAGCTGAGTATATTATGATCCCATCTGGGTTTTTAAAAAGTGGGAGATAGACATGTTTTGAACATTTGTGGAAGAAAACACCATAAATTGTTAACAATGGTTGTCATCTAGGTGGGAAATAACAGGTGGGGAGTCTAGAACTAGAGAAGAGTTACTGTCTCTGTGCCTTTTGCACAACTGGAATTTTAAGTGTGTGTCATGAAAATGTGTATGCCTTCAATTTTAGAAAGTTACTTATAAGCATTAAATGTGCATGCCCTATGACTCAGCAATCTCACAGCATGTCAGGGGTTTGATCACCAGGGATGCTGTGAAATATCCCCAAAGTGGCTGTGCACACACACCAATGAAGTCCATGGTGGGGCTGTTAGCAATTGCAGAACTGAAAACAACTTTTATGTCTATCAATCAGGGCATAATTTAAACCACAGCTAATCAAACAACAGAAGTGGATGAAAATGAGGATAAACTTGGAAAACTATCTGCAATGTAGAATGCAAATTGTATAATAATAGAAAATGATTCCATTATTGTATTTTAAAAAGCAAAAAAAAAATCCCAGAAACCTATTATCTGTGAATATGGATTTGTATGAGCACTTATGGTCTGGCTGGGAGTACATCTTCCAAATGGCGGCAGAGATTATTCTAGAAGCAGGATTACTTTGGTAATAAAAAAGAAATTTAAAAATAAATGGATATAATGTTTAGTAAAAAAGATTTTTAAAAAGTCACATATAGATATCTATTTAAAATAAAAAACTGACCTAACTATACATTCATATGTAGAATAAAGGCTGCATAGAAATACATTAAAAATATTAATAAAGGTTATCTATAGGTGGTAGCAAAAAGACAAGTTCCTATTTCCTTCCTAAACTTTTTCTCTACTTCTTAATTTTCTACAGTAAACATAAATATACTACCAGAAGAAAAAAAAAATCACATTTAAATGTTCGCATTTAAAGAACAAGGTGAATATAAAACTCTGTTCATTACTTCTTATTCGAAACTCCCAAATATAATCTAACTGCCTACACGTAGTAGACAGCCCAGCTCTGTGAGGCTTACCGCCACAATCCTGTCTCCCACGGCGAGGGACCCCTCTTTGGCAGCCGGGCTTCCGGGCACCACGGCAGCAGCATACACTCCATTCTCCAGACTGATGCCACTGTCTGTGAACCACAGGGAACACCACAGATCGTCCCCAGTTAACCCCTGCCCAGGCAGCATGGCCCTCTGGTTGTCCAACCTCATTTTTGGGAGATGCTCTTATAAAGGAGATGCTGGCAAACTGCGACCTATCCATCCTAGCACCCCATCCAGGATAGACCACCCTGGGGCTCGGTCACGTCTGGACTGGTGAATCACTCAGAGACAAGCAAGAGCCAGGACCCAGACGGTCCCCCGCCAATGAAGCACATGGCTGCATTTAAGCGGCATCAACACCTCATCCCTGGGAATGAGGTGCACCTGAAAACACACACATCCCTCTGCACAAGAAAGAGACATTCTGCCATCTGAGGCACTCTGCCCACTTCTGCTGGCTACTACCTTTCTGTCCACTCAGGTTGATATGCAGGGGTGTGACCACCTTCCCACCCAGGGACTTCCTCCGCCGCACGACCATGTTGATGGCCCCCTCCCCATTGAGGAGAGCCTTGATGGCCTGCTTCTTGTCCTTGTTGATGAGGTCCACATCGTTGATTCTCAGCAGCCAGTCATTGACCCTAAGGAGGGGCAGAGACAGGCTGGTGTCCATGCAGGTCTTGGGACCAATGGGCAGCCCCACCACGCCCCCATGTGGGAAGCTGAATGCCAGAAAACAGGTTCCCCACATACACATTCAAAACATTTCCTCTTTTAGGAGAGTCAAATGGTTAAACTCAGATACAGGAGCTAGACTGCCTGGGTTCAAATCTTGGCTCTACCACTTATTAGCTGTGTGGCCTAGCCCCCTGGGCCTCAGTGTCTTCATCTGTAAAATGGGGAAGGTACCTACCTCAAAGGACTGTAAAGATTCATAAATTAATTTTATTAAAGTACGTAAGCCAGTACTTAGCAAATAGTAAGCACTATTTTATCATCATTACTATTTCATGGAATGAGTAAGCAATGCACATTTTACACTCTCACACATACCGCCTGAGCCCTTTCCTACCCAGAGATGAGAAAGGCAGCACATGGTGACTGAAGAAAGCTCAGATTCAGAGGCAACTGCTAATCAGAGAGTGGCCTTAAAGAACAACGTTAGCATTAGCAGATGAGCCTGCGGGCCTCAGACAGACAGTCCCTCAGATCCTGGGGTGCATTCAACAAACCGCCACCTAGCTGTCATTGGGTCGGAGGGTCCCATTTCCCTCCAGAGCCTGGGCCTCCTTAACTCTTACCGTAAACGGCCGTCTGCAATGCTTCCTTTGTCCACCTTAGTGACAAATATGCCGCAGTCTCCCGGCAAACAAGGCTCATTCACACCTTCTGCCATATCGAACCCCAGTGCCTTCAAGTCAATGTCCTCCTGTCAAAACAGCAATAGCAGCAACACTTTTCTTTCCTGGGATTTTTTAAAAGTGTATTTATTTTAAATTAATTAGTTTCAAGTATACAGTACATTGGTTAGACATCTACATCGTTCATAAAATGATACCCCCTGGTTCTCCACCTGGCCATCATATTAATGCTAACTGCATTCCCTATGCCATGCTACCCGCATCCCCATGACCAACTATCAACTACTAATTTGTACTTCTTTGACCCTTCACCCCATTCTCCCAGCCCCCCAACTCCCTTCCCCTCTGTCCGTCACCAAATTGTCCACTATATTTGTGAGTCTGTTTTTGATTAGTTTGTTCTTTTTGTTTCTTAGATTCCGCATATAAGTGAAATCATATGGTATTTATCTTCCTGTGTCTGACTTATTTCACTCAGCATAATAACCTCTAAGTCCATCCATGTCATTGCAAATGGTAGGATTTCATTTTTTTAATGGCTGAGTAATATTCCATTATATATATATGAACCATAATTTCTTTATCCAATTGTCTATTGATGGGCATTTAGGTTGCTTCTATATGTGTAGCAACACACTTTACAAAGCAGTGATAACATTTGGCTCTCAAACCCCAAGCCACTCACTCCAATATGGGGACTGTCCCTTCATCATGATTGGCAGGGTACTCAGTCCCCAGGATGCAGCCTATGAGTAGCTACAATTTGCCTCTCTTAGCCAATGCAGACACATGTCCTCACCCCCGAAAGCTCTGCTTTTCCCTCTGCCTTCCTTGCACTCTGCCCGCACCCGCCATGTGACACAGGAGACCAACCTGCTACAACCCAGCTTGGACAAGTACAGGGAAAGGATGCAGTCACACCCTGGGAGGAAAAGTCGAACCTCCAAGCTAGTAGCCATGAAATTGGGGGACACAGCAAAGGGCCCTCCTCTCCCCCCACATCCAAAATCTACAGGTCAGGAGGGCAGGGAGAAAAAGACAGAAAGCTAGCTTACCGTCTCCCTCTCAAACTCTACAACTTCCGTTTCCCACTCCATGGAATCTGTATCAATGGCAGAGTCGTGGGAGCTGTGGGCCATCAGTTGCCGAAACCGGGCCTCCTTTTCCAACTGAGATTCCATCTGCTCCCTGTGAACAAAGAGAGCCATGGCAATGGCCCTTTTGGAGGCGAAATATCCCGCCCAAGTCATAGCTTGGAAACCAGGCAGATGCCTCATGAAAGCTCTGGGGCTCCCTTCCCCTCATGCTTCACGCCCGCTTCCCAATAAATCCAGAGTGTTGGGTCAAGGTTTCTTGGATATCAGCAGGTTTCATAGTGGCCTTTTAAAAAAGACTCAGAAATTCTTCTCACATTTATCTAGAGGTTTAAAGCAATTCTTATGGAAATTCCAGTAAGACTTTGTAGACACAGACAAGACTATTCTAAAATTTATAGAGAAAGGCAAAGGAATTAGAATAGCTGAAACAATTTTGAAAATGAAGAATTAAGTGGGAGGAACTACTCTACTCGATCTGAAGACTTTTTATACAATTATAGTACTCAGGACTGAGTAGAACTGCCAGAAAGACACACAGATGAATGAAACAGAATAAAGGATTCAGAAATAGCCCCAGTAAGTACAAAAGATGCAACAGTAATTCAATAGAGAAAGGACGGTATTGATGAGGGAGCAGCTGGAAATCCATGGCAAAAAAAAAAAATCTCAACCCGAACACCATATAAAAATTAACTCAAAATGTATCACAGATTTAAATGCAAAAAATAAAACTATCAAACCTTAAGGAAGAATATACAGGAGAAGATCTTTGAGATCTAGGGCTAGGTTAAGGGTTCTTAGACATAACACAATCCATTAAAAATTAAAAATAAAAAAACCAATAAATTGGACTTGATCAAAATAAAAAACTTAAGCTCTCAGAAAAATCCAGTGAAAAGGATGAAAAAAGACTCAGAAACTTGGGCCCAGACCACCTTCCAATTCCGCAGCACTGCCCATTAGACTCCTGGCACACTCACGACCTACTTTTGTTTCCTGCACAAGTGGACATGCACCCACTCCTTTATCTGGCCTGTGCTCTCACAGGCGGGCTCTAGAATGCTACTCAGCCTCTGTGGCAGAGCTCCAAAACCTCTTTCGTGGACTCCCACCCCTGTGCAGCCTGAGGCTCTGCATTTAATGCTCACTGCACTCATCTCATCTCTCACTCACTTGCTTCTGCAGCCTGGGGGCTTCCTGGGAAGCAGTACAAACTCCCTCACCAGCACCCCATCAGTTAGAGAACTTAGCAGAGAGGAGGTGCAAATACAAATGTGCTGTGCAAACCAACGAACCTGACTTTCTTAGTCTAGGCAACTCCAGCTCAATTAAAATGCAAAACCTCCTCCTAAACTCAAGCCCCAGGGGGTCCACGCTGTACTTTAATTTGATTCCATCACTTTTGCTAGACCCAAGGTGGGTCCCTGGAGAGAGACTGTCACTTTGCCTCTTAACCCCTGAGATTTTCTTTAGAGCACTCAAGTCCCAGAGGTCCTGGGTTTTATTTAATAAATGAAGCTGTTTGTCTTACGTTCTATAGTAGTGAATGAGGAGGAAAGGGAAGCTGCACTCCCTTCTGAAAGACATCACTTGAGTGAGGAAGGCTTGCACACTCACACTCAGGGGCTTCTCACTACCCCTCACCACTCTATCAGCTTGGGAAGTTCCTAGACTGGACAGAGAGCCACTGCTCCTCAACTAGAATATGATTCTAGCCCACAGTGATGGCTACTGGGCTCTGCCAATTTCTCCTTTATAAACTTTGATCTTTGTATTTTCAATCTACTGCTCAGAGTCACCAAGTCTTAAATGACACTCCTGGGAGCAGTGCTGTCTCTTCCAAATGGGCATCCAAATATCCAGCGGACGGACTGCTTAGTGGTGGTCACAACTGCCTTATTTTGCTCATTTATGTATTTGTCGATCTGATGGACCTGACTATGGTCTGTCTCCTCTTGTACGCTGTGATCCTCACAGCGCAGGGACCTGGTCAGCTTGCTCCCTGTGCCTTGCCCCAAGAGCAGGCATGAGATAAATTCTTGTTGAGTTGGTGAATGAATGAGGGAGGGAAGGAATGAAGGAATGGACAATGCATGCTTGCCTGTCCCCAAGTGGACTGCCTGGGAGCAAGACCTTCCTTTCTATGTGCCTTTGCACACGATGCCTGCCCTCCTCCACGTGCTCACCAAACAGACGCTACCATCTTCTGTGCTAATCTAAGAATTTCTAGTTAACTCTCAAAATGGGAGCAGTATTTGGACCCATTCTATAGACTGACTAAGTAAGACAGAAAGAAGGGACAGATGGCCAGGCCCGTACATGGAGTAGCCTTGCCCTGAGAGGAGAGGGGGCACCTCACTCCCAGGAACAAGCTCAGCCCAGCAGGCGCCCACTCCAGCATACTTGAGCTCCTTAAGCTCCCGGCTGACGTCATTCTTCTGCTTGCGAGTGTCATCCAGGCTTCGCAGAGCCTCAGCCAGCTCGCTCACTGCCCGGTCCCGCTCCCGCCTCAGGTTGTCGCAGAGTGTCCTACAGAGGAGGCAAAGGGCAAGGTCACAGTGAAGGGCAAGGGTTGGAGGACTCACAGCCTGTAGTGAACATCCCAGGTGGCTGCCGTGCCCCCCAATGCACAGGAGTGCTTGAGTCTGGGGGTGAAACCACCAAGGCCAACCCCATTGAGGGACAGAGGTGACACTGAGGACCTGAGAGAAGTGATACTCCCACAGTTACTGAGCAACGAGCACTGGGTTCTGAATGTCCAGTGCTCGTCCCATGTTTCACCCTTAATGTGCCTAGAGTTAATGACCGCCCTCCCGCCCCAGCCCACCTGGCAGGCCCTTGTGCTCCAGCACCTAGCAAATGCCTCATAACTATCCACATATAGGCCTTTCCAGAGCCATCTCGCACCCCACAACCAGACTAGGCTCCCTACTCAGACAGGAATCATGCCTCACGCATCTCTGCAGCCCAGAGCTCTGTGCAGGTACTAAGTGCAGGCTTGACAACTCTCTACCAAAGGACATGTGGCTTCTGGGACCCCAGGACCACCTCAACCATTCTATAGCCGACCTGAGAGCAGGGGAGTTTATGCTCTGTGCCACCTCCAAAACTGCATCCTGTCACTAGATGGACCCTGAGGGCCAGTATTTCCCATGGCTCCAAACCCACCCCCACCCTGAAACCTCATCTTCTGACTAGCCCGGCAGACACAGTCTTTCCTCCAAACAGCCAAAAGGGAATCTTTTAGAAATTCCAAGTCCTTGTTCACCACCAACACTCCCATCACCACGGCCTCTCTTGGCTCTACTTCAACTAATGGTCCAGTCTACACTCCCAGGCTTCCATTTCGAGGCCCTTACAATCTTAGGAGCCCTGTCAGCTGCCTCTCCAGTGACTCCCCAAGTGCACAACCTGCTCCAGCCGTGCCCTGCCCTGAGCACACCATGTACTTTTGCTCATGATGCTCCCTCAGGCAGCAGTGTCTTTCTCCCTTCTTCACCTAGAAAAATCCCGATCATGCTTAAGTTCTTCTTTAAATGCCATGCTCTCTAGGGAAACCTCTCCATCTGTTCCCTGCCCCTCCCACTCCCCATGCCCTGCATGCTCCCATCAAAGCCCTGACTATGGCCCTGGAATTCCCTGCTCATACATCTCCCTTCTCCACTGCCCTGTCTGACAAAGCTGCCCGCAGCGCCCACAGTGCCAGGCCCTCACAGGGAGCCCTGGAAGCTATTTGTCTCCCAGGGTCTCCTTGCTCAAGGGACCTAAGATCCTGACACGGTCAGTGCCCAATGACTACTGACTGAAAAAACACAGTTCTGACATGTCAGTTTCTCAGAAACCATCTAAGAAAAAAGCCTGTTCTTATGCTACTTCACAGCGGTCTCAACTGGATAGTGCATACTTAGACATCTAGGGTGAAGTGAAATGGGATACAGAGACTTAATGGAAAATTCTAATGCTCTGAAGCAAGGAAGAGGCATTACATAGGGTGAGAAGGGAAGAATCTAGGTCATTCCAACCTTACCTGGACACACAGCAAATAATTCTGGCCCACCCCACCAACCCGGTGCATCATGGGAGACCAGAGCCCACGGCAGCCCAGGTGCACCATACCGGATGCTGTCTCGCTCTGCTACGATTTTGTCCCGCTCCTGGAAGGCCCAGTCCCGCCGGCACTTGGCCACATCCGCCTCCTGGAGGGCTTCCTTCAGCTCCTGGCACAGAGCCTTGCACTGCTTTCTAAGGATTTCAGCCTCCTTGTTGGCTCTCCCGGCGTCCATTGTCACTGTGTCTTTGATCTGATGGGGATGAAGGGCAAGCAGAGGGGGAGGTTACTGGGCCTTCTGGCCCAGAAATGCACTGTGATGAATGTAATGGCTGAGGCTGAACTCTCGTGAGCTGGATAGAAGGAGACACTGGAATCCCAGCCAGAGCCCAGCCCAACACACCCCGGCTGTACCTGTACCCTCAATGACCACGTGCCCCATAGCCATGCTCGGAAAGCTAGTGATGCCGGTTTAGGGTCCAGTCTAAACTCTCACAACCCCATAGAGAACTTGGACTGAAACCCCAGTGCCTCCTTGGCCAAGGTCTCAGTGGCCCAGGTATAAGGCCTGCCCTAGAGGGCTTATTTTAGGATGTGCCCTGCCACTTATGTGGTTTATATCTTGCAGAGCCACCACATCTCTCTATAGAGCTCCCGTGACCAAACATGATGATGAGAAGCCTGGCTGCAGGGAAGGGTGCAGACACTGATGGTGATCATTCCCAACCTGCTGTGTTTGCAGTACTGGTTTCTATACTCTGGTTTTTATGCTTTGGCATACTGAGTCATTTTTAAATCTGAATATGCATAAGTATTTATGCTGGTGAAGTCCTATGTATTCTGGTTTGTTTAAAAAGCTAAAATCTGAAGCATTTGTATTTTGACACCTCCTCCCCAAAGCATTCCATGTGCCATTAAAATTTCAACTCAAACTTTTAAAAGCATCTGTATAGAAAGTGCCTCTGTGCCCCTATAATCCTTCAAAAACATGGGGAAAATGATAAATGACAAAGCCAGTGTCCACTGCGAGAGTAACTCCTACTCTAGCTCAAAGGCTTTCTGAAGAAGCAAAACACACAGGAGACATGAGAAGAGCAGATACTGCTGTCTCTGCACTGGGAATCTCCACCTCTTAGCGATAAGAAGGAAGACAAACACACCAAGAACGCTTCCACCCACTCCACAGCAGAGACGCAGCTTCCGCTAAAACAAGTTTAAGAAGATCCCCGAAGTTCAGCCAAGAGACAGGGATACGGAAACAGTGGAAAATACGTGCAATCAGCTTGTAACTCCCCCTCATCTCTCACGTAGAGACTCAGAAGGAGTTACAAAAAAATCTGCACAAAAAATACACATTAACTCGAGAGTGACAGAGTGGTATTCTCTGCTCAGACCTCACATTTCCCAAGATTGAGTCAAATTATTTCAGTTTTGATTTTTTTCCCACTTTTATGCAGTGTTGCGTGTTTGTTTATTAATTCTTCCAAGAATTTATTATAATAAGTAGTTGATTTAACATTTCCTTAAATTCGTATTTCACTCAGTGTTTTATATTAAAATAGTTTCATATTTGAAACATGTTAACATGTGGTTTCACTGAAAGGTCTTTCCATTTGGCCCTGGATAACCATCTCAAGCTGAGGATCAGAGATGGAGACACACATGAAGCCACCACCAGAGAAATTAGGCAGCCCCCACCCTTTACCCCATCTCTCTTTTCGCTCCCTCTGAGTCCTCATCATTGTTAGTCTCCAAAAATGAAATCACTCCCAAAGCGATGTTTCCTTAAGAGAAACATAGGAATTACAACGCTGAGTTTTATTGAGAAGGGAGAAGAATGAGGTATCTTAAAACGGGTGGCAGAATTGAAGAAATGAGGTTCCTTTGTCTGATCCCCTTATTATACCAATGAAGGCCCTAAGGGTCCATGAAGTGACTGCCCCAGTTTCGACCCATTAATGAGGAGCCTAACACACATCCCAGGTCGCCAGACTCTTGCTCCAATGCTTCTTCCTCCACACATGCTGCCCCCCAACTCAGATCTCAGTATCCAAAAGCACCACCCATGATCTCCTTCTGCCCATCCTGGGTGACCTTGGGGCCATAGGCTAAGGAAGAGATGGGCTGGTTTCCATGAGACCCTCACCCAGCTCAGGCATGAGGCCAACTTATAAAAGCCTGTGGCTGTAACTCAGCCCCGCGCAGGGGCAGAGCCCACACCAGTGGGTTCTCATCAGACCATAGGGAGATAAGAACCTCTCTTCCACCCCCTCAGAGCCAGGATGGCCCAGGCCACAAACCTGGCCTACTCTGGCTGGGTGGGGAGTGGTCTTGTCTGAGAAGCCAGACAAAGTAGAGGAAAAGCTGAGGGTCTCAGTTCTGGAAGCTGCCAGGGTTGGGTGAGGTGGCGGTGCGGGGGGTGAGGGGAGCGGGGCAGGGATTCTCCTCTCCTGCCTGCTGACTCGGATCAGTGCCTAGAAAAGATTCCTGCCTCAGCTGACAGGCAGACTTGACATCCAGCCAATGCCCCCTGTGAAGGCTGAAGGGCATGCATGACTGCTGGGAGTAGGGTGACAAGCCGCCACCGGATGCTAGCACTGAGGAAGTCTGGTTGTTCATACTTCTCGGTGCTTTCCACATTCCTGCAAAGGGCACGCATTAACCTCTATCATTTCAAAACTCTTCCATGTAGGCCGCTGTCCTATCACAGGCTCACCTCCTATGTACTTGACACATTGTCTTTGATTTTCTAGTTTAGGGACTGACTCAGTCATTTTTGAAGTTTTCCTCTTCATTTTGTTTTTCTTATTTGATAACATTTTCCCAACTATTAAGCTCTCAGATGCCAGAGTGTGAAAATGAACTGATGGCTTTTCTAGGACAATTACTAAGTTCTAATACATTATTTTTGCTTATTAAAAATTCCTTCATCACAGTCTTTTAGAAATTTCATCAAATAAATACTCCTTTTCACAATGGCTTTCACCTTGACAGTCTGGAACAATGTCACTCACTTGGTATGAAATTGCCATTAACTGGCCCATTTTTGCCTGCAAGGACAATTTCACAGAGTACTAATAATCACCTTAATAATAAAGATGAATTATTCCAACTTTGTGCAGGCATTATTCTAATTGTATTCTCAATATTAAATCATGTGATCATCACAAACACCCATGAAGCAGATGCTATCATCATTTGTTTTGTAGATAAGGAAACCAAGGCCAAGAAAGGTGAGAAATCACATGACTATGGCCTATTCTCCAAACGCAGGGCCTGTGCACCTTGAGTACCACAGCCCCTAGCACTCACTGGGCATAAGGAGGTGTCACTATCCACAGGAAGACTCACAGGACACCAACCACCCCTCAGCATCAGCCCTGCCTTGTGCTAGGTCCGAGGAGCTCTGGCTGCAACAATCCACTGCCTACCGTTCCCTGATAATTTGCCCGACCTTAAACACCTTGCTTTTCACTTCTCATAGACCAATTTTAAAGCCTGCATTCTAACTGACCTGCATAGAAAAGCAGAATGGAGAGGCATTTCAATGGGGAAAAAGTCTGCCATGATCAAGTTTAGCAACTTAAACAGAGCCACAACACAGATGGGATGGGAAGGGAATCTTAAATCAGGGAGCCAGCAGGGCACACCTGCACTTGGGAGTAAGGGATGTCAGCAATGAGGCCAAGGGGCCAGAAGGAAAGGAGCAGAGGCTCTGCACTGATCACTCAGGAGTCAAGCTGAGTGGTCTAATTCCAATGCTACATTCCAGGACTCTGACACTGGAGGAATGTCCCCGAGAAAGCAAGACTGTAGACAAGCCGTGGGCTCAGCTTAGTATACCATTGTCCTGGCAAGAGCCCAGCTGCCCCTTAAAGAGCAGACCCCTTGGAAACTAGAAGGAAAGAGCCCTAAGGGTACTCTTTCAGACTCACAAGGTCAAAGGTGTCTATGACTCTGGGTATCTATGGCTTTGGAATCTTGCTTCTTAATGAGCAAGTCCTTGAGTTACTTGCTAACTTTCAGCATAAGACTGATCAATAATCACTTAACCATGGGTTTGAGTGTGACAGTGTCCATGCATGGTACACACGTATGTCTGGGCATGTCATTTTACTTTCTTCCTACACTGTAAGCTGTGGATGCCTGAGGCCAAGGCTAGACCTCTCCTGTGTCTCTGTAGCCTAGACAAGAGCTGGGCATTGAGCGCAGTGAACTCGGCAGTTACCTGGGCAGTGTCCAATAACCCAGCTGGCATGCAGGCCTAAGATAAGAAGCCCTTCGCTCTGAATCAGGAGGAAGCTGCTAGTTCAGACACCATGTGTACTGCAGCCCTTCCTCCCGTGACACTTTCAGATGCTGGGAGACCAGCACCCCAGCCACGTACCTGTCGCAGTGCCTCCATCTCTTCGCTGGCTGCCTTCTTCTCAGACGTGCTGCTCTTGAGCTTGGACTCGGCCAGCTCCACCTCAGTCTGCAGCTTGTCAAGCTCAGAGATAACCTGGTCGCGCTCGCTCATGATGAGCTTGTACTCGCTGTAAACTGCATCCCGCTCCTCCTTGTACTTTTCCGACTCCTTGGCAGTTTTTGCCTGCGTGGTCCTCAGCTCTGTCAGCTCTGACTGCAGTAGCTCCATCTCCCACTGTAGGTCCTTGTTCTGGGCCGTGGCCTTGTTCAACTCATGGTGGATAGCCTCAAATCTGGGGGAGAAAGGCAGCCAGGACTTGATGGGGGGTAGGCACAGAGACATGCTGGACAGTCAAGCATGAAGTTTCAATGAGGTCATTCTCCACATCCCCAAGAGCAAAAAGTCACAGAGTACCAGTGCTCCTAGACCTGGAATTTTTCTCAGCCTTTAAAAATACCAGAAGTTGAACTGAGGACGTCATGCCCTCTGTTCTACTAGAAATAATAGCACATTTCTTCCTCAGTCAAGCTACATTATTTAAAAAAAAAAAAAAAAAATGCTAGAATCACAGCATATGAGAGATAAAAGTGGCCTTAATGATCATTTAATCCAACCATCTCGTTTTACAGATACAAACAATAAAAAAAAGTAGATGACTGGCCCATAGTCACCAGGTTAGCATGAGAGCACAGTTCAGCCCTTCCAAGCCAGGAGGCACCTTCCATGCAGGCAATCCTGCAAATCAGAGCTGCAGCTCTGGAGCCGCATTTCTGAAAGTGTGGTCCTGAGAACACCAATCCCGTACAATGCTCCATTTAAAAAAAAAGTGTGTTCTCTGATGATTTAAATTTGAAAAGCAATGCATTCTGTGTCCCATCTTGGAGAGTCTAGAGCCCAGTACCAGAGTGAAGGCGCTGAAAAGTCCCACGGTGCAACCGGCAATTCCCAACCCTTTTTATGTCCAGAGAACACTTTTCATATGAAACTGATGAACACTCCAAGGAAGTGGTATTTTCTGCAAGAATACGCCTTACAAAATACTGTTGGAGGGCCCGGCACACATCCCTACAGATTATACGCCTTAATAAAAATATGAACTTTTAGAAGAAACAATGCCTAGAACAATCAACTTTCCTATTTGCTAGGTGAGTGACTGACACAAGGGGAAGAGACCATGGGAGACTTCGGAAACGGGATGGTCAGCACATATCAGCAACAGGTAAGTGGCTGGGGTGCTGGTCTCCCAGTGTCTGAAAGCGTCGCGGGAGGAAGGGCTGCAGTACACACTGTGCTGTTCAGACAGGAGGAAGAACAACTCCCAAGACACTGAAAAAGCACAATCTACTGTGCTATTTTAACTCTCTGGAAGTGGCGGGGAGCCTTGCAGATAACCACAAGCCCAGACCAGAGTGGCTGCTAGACAACAAAGATACATTTGGCCCTCAGCCGTTCTCCTCGCTCCTGGACTTCAGCTCCTACCTCCTCAGGGAGAGGGCACACTGGTGCTGCAGCTGGATAGCCGTGTCCCTCTGCTGGGTCAGCATCTCCGTCTGCTTCAGCAGGCGCTGGTTCTCTTCTTCCAGCTGCTCCAGGCGGCTCAGGTCCGAGTTGTGGATGGCAACTTTCTCACTATACCTCTTTCTCAGGGCATCATAGTCCTTCTTAACCACCTCCAGCTTGTCCATGGCTGTGTCATACAGCTTGTTGAGGATTTCCGATGACCCGTTGTGCTTCAACACCTGCAGACCAGAGAGTTACACTAACCAAGGGTCTGAGGGCAGGAAAAAGGACAGGCTGACCACTCTTTACCTCCATGCGTCTGGGGGCAGAACTACTGAAAAGGGAGGGGAGGCCACACCCTCTGGCCTTTGGGGTCTAGAGATCTGATTCCACAGGTTCTATAGTCACACTGGGTGGGTGATTTACTCGTTCATAAACATTTCTTAAGTAGTGTGTAGAAGACAGGTACCCTAGCAGGCCTGAGACTTCTATCCTTAGAAAGGCCTGTCTGCAAGCGGACTTTTGGCTGGTGCTGGGGAACCTGCATAGCAAACAGTCCTGTACACTGACCTAAAACGTCCCCCAGAAGGCTCCCTGTGCCTGGACCAAACGACAGTGTGACTGAGGCTGAGTGCTTGCTTTCCCCTGGAAACTGGAATCTCAGGCCACACGGTGGCTGCCCCCAGGAAAACCCGGGGGCAAAGAGTATCTCATGGGCTTTCTTGGCAACAACATGTCACATGTGCTGTCTCAATTCAGTGCTAGAGGAGCAGAGCATAACCTGTGTCACCCCACAGGGAGGACTTTTGAAACCCACACCTGGTTTCCCCTGGACTTTGCCCCAGGCACCTCTTTCCTTTGCTGATCTTGTCTTGTTTCCTTTTGCTGAAATAAATTTTAGCTGTATGATTACATGCTGAATCTTATGATTCCTCCTAGCAAATTGCCAAACCTGGGGATAGAGGGAAGGACCCCCAACACAGGACCCCCAACACAAGTACCTAAAATATTCTAGTGATGTTCTAGATGCTGGGGAAGCCAGAAAGGACACATAAAGGATGTAGCTTATGTACCTTTTATCTTGATGGGAAGATATGAAGGCACAGATGGACACACAGACAGAGAAAGGTAGGTAGACAGAAAGGTAGAGAGTGAGATAGACCAAATAAAATAACTTCTGAGCATATTAAAGGCCATTGAGGAAATAAAAAAATAAAATAGGATAATGAGCTGGAGAGACACTTTTGAGCAGCAGAGCAGATGTGAGACAGGCTAAGTAAGGCCTGAGAAGTCTCTAAGAAGGTGATTTCTGAGTTTGGAGGCAAAGGAACAGCAGTAGCCGAGAGCACACCAAGCAGAGGGGTGCGCAAGTACAAAGGCCCTGAGGCAGGAAATACCAGAGTGTTCTAGGCACAAAGAGAAGGGCAGGACAGAGTGACTGGAGGCCAGTGAACAAGGAGCAGTGGGTTCAAAAGAAGACTAGAGAAGTGGGCACAGCTTCAAGGCTCACAGCAAAGGCTATCCTGAGGCAGAAGGGAACTAACTGTAGGAGGGTTTTAAGCAAGAGAGCAAATTATAGGTTCTGAAGTTCACTCAGGGCACTGTTCTAAAGAATAAACAAGACGATGAGTTAAGAGGATGTCAGGGGCCTGCTGACTTCTGCTAATCACCTCAGGGGACCTGAGCCCTTGGGCAGGTCACTTCACATCTTTGGCTCTCAGTTTCCTTATTCCTTAAATGACAGGACTGAACCAGAAAAGCCTGCTTAACTGTGCAAGCTCCAACAGTCCAGGCATCACCTGGCTCATTCAGCATGGACCCTGAGTTATCAGATCTTTTCAGCCCAGAGAACCAGAACCTGGGACTACTGAATACAGGCATACCTCATTTACTGCACTTCGCTTTTATTGCACTTCGCTGGTATTGTTTTTTACAAATTAAAGGCAAGACCCCTCCACCAGCAAAAAAGATTATGGCTCACTTAATTGCAGTGGTCTAGAATAGAACCCACAATATCTACAAGGTATGACTGCATACCTTTAGAGGGAGGGTTAGCCCTCAATGAATACAATTAACACAAAAAGCCAAGAAAGAGCTAATTTAGAAATCAGAATCATAGACAAGGAAAGTGAGTTCATTCCTCTAAGACCTAAGCATTTGCTCCTAGGACGACTATAGACTATTGGAGAGAATAGGAATCCCAGAAATAAGCTCATTCTGGGCTTTTAGTGTTTCTCTCTTTCTCTCTCTCTCTTTTTTTTTTAAGCATTTCTTTCTTCAAAGGAATCTTACAAGGACACCAAAATACAAAACTCGTTTTAAAAAAAAGGTAAATTCCTCAAGCAGTTAAAATCTCCACTGTTTTGTAAAAACGATTCACCGCTGCAGACAGGACTACACACTGAGAAAGAGTCACAAGACCACTAACTGAGCCCCATTCTATTGTTTAAAGTCTTTTAATAATAAAACGGAAAAGCATTGCAAATAATGCAGGAAATTTTAAGTATCCACCACTTAGCTCTAAAGTTAACATCATGTCCTTTGTGTCAAACTGTTTTCCAAAGAATTACACTATTCTGGTGTTGCTAAAGGCTCCAATGCACCCTCTCTTATTCCACACCCCCCTCTTCCCTTCCAGAATTAATCACTCCCCTAAATTGCCGTCAACCATCTCCATGCACGATATTTTATTTATATTACTTAGGAATTCATAAAAACCTCTAATGGCATCACGTTTGCTTTTCTTTTTATTCAGTGCTGCTTTTGAGATTTAGTCCCGTGATGCAGGTGGCATTTCACTGTATGAACATGCCACACACTCTCCTTTTCCTGTGTGATGAACACTTACATTCTGTGGGAGATTTTTCTCTAGAAGCAGAGTGGCCAAGTGTCGGGATGTGGATTTTTTTACGCTTACTGGACAATATCGAATTGTTCTACCAGTGTATGATCCATCAGTTGTGGGCAAAAGTTCTAAGAGTCACTGTCCTCAACACACCCTCACCAAGATTTCATACAGCCAGATTTATCTTTTAATTTTTAATTGTAGTAAAATACACACAACATGTCATCGTCTTCACCATTTTTAACACCTTTAAGTGTCCATTTCAGTAGTGTTAGGCATATTCACATTGTGCAATCACTCTCCAGAACTTTTCCATCTTGCAAAACTGAGTGCGTGTCCTCATTAAACAACTCCCCACTCCACCCCTCCCCCAGCCCCCGGCAGCTACTCTTCTACTTTCTGTTTCCATGAATCTGACTACTCTTAGGTACCTCGTATAAATAGAATCAGACAGTATTAATCTTTTTGTGGCTGATTTATTTCATTTAGCATATTGTCTTCAAGGTTCATTCTGTACTATGTGACAGAATTTCCTTCCTTTTTAAAGATGAATAATATTCCACTGTATATCTGTACCACATTTTGTTTATCCACTCATTCGACGAGGGACCCTGGGCTATTTCTACCTCTTAGCAATTGTGAAACAGATTTTTTAAAGTACTGACAAAAAATAAGATCTCTTTTTTTTTAACTTTCATTCCCGATTACTAAAAAGACAAAGCAGCTCTCCTTATGTTCATTTTCTCTGCCTCTCTCTCTCTCCCTTTCCCTCTCCCACTCCTCCTTTCTGTAGGATTTATTTTTAAATTCCAGGAACTAATCCTTTCCCAGTTATATTTATTACAAATATCTCCCCCCAACATATGGCTTTTAAAATTTCTTGCAGTGTCTTTTGTTATATTAAAGTTTCACATTTTAATACAGTAAAATCTAGTGATTATTTCCCTATGGTTTGTGCTTTAGTTGTTAGTATTTAAGAAGTTCTTTCATTCCTATATTGAAATTATGAAGATACTCTATCTTTTTTTCTAAAAAGCATTTACTTATTACATTTAAATCTTCGAACGACGTGGAATATATTTTTCTGTATGGTGTGACATGAAGATATAACATTATTCTTTTCCATAAATCTCCAGAGATAGGAGACTGAGCCCGAGTACAAGACAAACTGTGCAGATAATCGTCCGAGTGCAGATAATCGTCCAAGTGCAGATAATAAAGTTGGAGGCCACCAAGGGCATCACCTGGACACAATGCCCCACCGTCCCACATGTGCCCAGGACACACAGCACCAGTGGAGCTCACTCCTGACTTGCAGGTCAGTCAGTCCCTTCTACCCATATCTGGAAAAGGTCCAGCTTCTGGAAAGGAATGCCCTGACTTGTGGTCAATACCTCAAACATTTCAATTAAAAACCACTTCAAATGTTTTACTCTCTAAACATCTCCTAAGCCAAGTGAGAACCTCAATAACTCCAAATGAGTCAAGCGGTTTATTACAGAACAAAGGCATTGCTGCCATTCCCGGCATTCCCCACAAGGTGGCAGCCCTGGGTAGACCAGGCAAATGCTCTTGGGCAGTTGTCCCACCTTCCAAGCTTCATTAAGAAACTAATTTTAAAGGCAGCCTTGAAATGACACAAAGACCTCATTCCCAGACTTGGCTCAGCAGGGCCCACCCTCACTGGTCCACAACTGAATCTGGAGTCTACACCATGGCTAGGCCTTTCTTCACGGGGAAATAGTCTCCAAAATGCCTTACCTGTGAGGAGCTTGGATGAGGATTGGCACCTACATGACAATCCAGGGACACTTCAGGACAGAGTGAATCCTGCTGTCAGGATGGGCTGCAAGTCCCCAGTGAGTTGGGGTGGTCAGGGGAAATCCCAGAGCAGGCCCAGGCATCCTTTCTGAAGCTCAACCCAGCTCTGATAACATGGTGAGATCCAAGAACAGAAGGGACCCTGGGAGATCAAGCTGATGCCGGGTGCTGTCTGGGCCATGGCTCCACCCATTCCACAGGCGGAAACCACAGTGAAGGTCTTGCTTATTGTGAGCTGACATCTACCTTCTCCAAGTCCTAACCTCTCGTTCTCAGTCCAGCCCTGGAGTCACGCAGAATAATCCTTTACCCACAGAACAGCATCCACGTATTCAAAGAGGCTCATGGGCTCCCAAACACTTCTTGACTTTTCTCTACAAGCAGGGCTCACAGTCATGCCTATGCTAACATAATCAAAAGCCTCTGAAAAAATTGGGGAAAATCACAGCCACAGTTAAGAGAATTTAAAAAGCTATCCTATTAGTCTAGAATTTTTCCTTTTTCTCATTAGATTATGTTCTTAGTAGGAAGTTCCACACATGTGCATAGACACCGACACACACACACACACAC